TTATTTTATTTCATACGTTTTACACACAACTATAAATGACATCTAATACTTGAATATATTCTGTGATAATTTTTCAGTATCGAGTAGTATTTTATAACGAGATAATTACAGTTTAAACAAATTCTGCCGCCGAGTTGTTTCTTTCGCCGAGCTTCGATACGTTATCGGCTGTATCGTTTCAAGCGACGTGAAACCCTGCCCACCCACTCGAACTTCCATGCAATTTTGTGGGAAGAGACCTGCCTAATTGATCAAGCCCGGTGTTTCCAAAACCCACACACTCTGAATCTGAATCTGGCCGGGCAATCTGCACGTGCACGATTTTCCAGCCGGCAGTATCAAACCAATAAAGCCAGAGTTGACGCCCGTAAACCGGAAACAATCAAGATGCCGGACGAGTCGCGAAGGTAGGTCACGTAGCGGCTGGATCGTTCTGATATCGATCAGCGGATTATCTGACGTACGTTAATTCCCGCTGCAGAATCGTCGAGATCATCGCAAGCTTCGAAGACCATCGCTATTAATATTAGGCCACACACGAGTATTCCCGAAAATTCTCGAGCAATGTATCATTATTGGAGACGAAGTTTGAAAGCGTTGGCCAGCGTTGACCACGGAATCCAGCAATTCAATCGAAAATTCATCCCTTGCTTCCCAGCATAGCTGCGAACGTACATGCTAACTATTTCAACTGACTCAATTGGATTCGAACTGGACCCGACGAAGCTGGAACTTGATTTACACGCTCGATGTTAATTCAAGATAAATATTCTCTTAATGTTTTTATCGTGTGAAACGGCTACATTGTCACGCCGTCAACTGATAATTAAAAATCGAATCCGATAAAGCAAGAGCTTGACGTTTTATATACACACACACGAACGAACATTGTCCAGATATAAAGAATCTGGTGTTGCCACGATGGATGCATTTATATTTAAACTCGACGTGATATCTTTGAACACAGTGTGTTCATACGATGGCCGACGGCCTTAAATCTCCTGGCGGAGTCGACGGCTTTAAAGTCAGCCGCAACTGCGCCAGGTCGACCGATAAACGACAAACTCGGCCACTGGGTCAACGACAGATGCAGCTGGTGCACTCGCACCGAGATACACCCCCGACCTCTTCCCCATTAGCCCGATCTCTCCAGAACGCTTGTTTTTTCCTATGTTTTTCTTGTGCTTCCTTCTTGTTTTTCCCTCTCCCATCTTCTCTCTCTTGCTTTTTTTTTCGCGACTTGGTTTTCTCTCAGCCATCGTGTCCACCGGCTCGTGCTCGATGAATCCGTGTGCCGTAGCGTGAACGAGAATCACTCGAGAATCCCTGGCGAGCCACAGAGAACAAAGAAGATCGCGTTGAAGCAGACAGTAGTTTTTTTTTTTTTTTTTTTTCGTATCGAAAGCGTGGCTACGTATCGATTGAATGTTCGTAGGCTGCGCCGACATTGAAACACACCGTCAGAGCGGGGAAATTCCTTCGCTTAATAACGCTTGTATTCCGCCTGTACAGAGTGGGATCCATCCGGGGGCGTTAACGTGATACGTCGTTTGCAATTCCGCGTCCGATTCCGATCGATTTACATTGTGAATATAAAATGCTTGCTTCGCAGGAATTTACAAAGCTCGAAGATCACACGGATGCGTATAGTTGTGTTCTTTTTCTTTTTTCCAATTTTTACGCATTTTTTTTTTTTTCTAACGATCGCTTCCGTTCGCAGGCGAATAACGAAGAAGAAAGCGGTGAAACTGGCTCCGTTCAAGTTCCCATTCTCGAGGACGTCGAAGCCGCGCATCAACGACGAGAAGGACCGTGAAAGGGACAAGGACAAAGAGCCAGGGAATAAAACGGAGAGGGATAAAGAGGGCAACGCGGAACAGCAGGACGGGAGGAAGGAGAACGCGCGAGATCGCGAGGACGAGGAGGAGAACGCGAAAGGGCAGAACATTCAACTACCAATGAGTCAACTGCAATTGACCACCGAAACTGAATCCAATTTAAAATCGCCGATATTCGATTCCAACAGCCCGATGGTGAGGAACGAACAAGCCATACCGAGCTCCCCTCCTCCCTCCTACGAACACGTTATCGAACAGGTGAAGATCTGGGTTGACCTAACCGAATAAAAGAGCGTAACTCACTCCCCCCCCCCTCCGTACACCACGAAATGTGCGATCGTCGAAAACCTTTAAAATGGAAATGCTTGATTTCTCAATTTCACCACGTTTACAGAACGATGAAAATTTCATTCAGCGTACATACATGTATATATATATATATATATATCGTTGTTGAACGTTTCTCGTGTCGGTTGAGACCATGTAACAGTGTTCTCATCCCTCGTAAGGGGAATGTAATTTTCGAAAGAGACTACGTGGAACTCCTCATTTATCTGTTTAGGTGTTAAACGAGATCTTGAGCTTTGAGAGAAACGATAGACGAGGGTGCAGAAGTCTCTCGTTGGGAAATTATCCACTTATCACGGTGATGTGGTTTTTAGACGCGGCTGGAACACGCGGCCGAAGTGCAGAAGTACGACGGTGGAAAGAACGACGCGCCCGGCGATGATAATAGAACAAAAGCGCCCAAGATACTTCACAAGTCGAGCAAAGAGTTGTACAGAGCGGTTGCGAAACAGTGTGGCATCACTTGCAAGATGAGCGACCACTGCAGATGCTTGGACTGTCAGGTGAGCTGCGACTTTCCTTTCAAAACGTACTGAACATGATCTGAATGATCCGTATCATTCTAGAATTTATAAATATTACCGAGGCTTATATTCTACTACGAATTATACCTGTTGCCTCTTCGATTATTATTATACTTTTGTACCTATTTTGAAAGAACGAAGTATAAGAAGCATCTGTTTCTAGAATACATATTTGAACGAATCTTGAAGAATTCTTTTAATTTCTCAAAACATCTTTCACAAATTAAAATTTCGCCACTGCACTTGTTTTTACACGCAAAATATGCATCTTACAGTTGCAGAATTTTTTTCTTTAGAATCCGTGTATATATATACGTGAATCTTTCGAATGAATTCTGTTCGCAGAGCTGTTACTTCGACTGCGAGTACGACAAGAACGAGAACCAGAAGACTGATGGCGGACTCGGCGCCGGCACGCCGATGTTCATTTCCGAGGTGATGCAAGGTTCCGCTTGCGTGCTGTTCTAAGACGGCGGAAACAAGTCTTCGCCGTGCTTCCACAGGCAGCGGAAGTCCACGTGATTGCGCACAAGCCGGGCTCAACCGAGATGGATCGAGAACGGTGAATCAGCTACTGACCGGTCGTCGTTTGACGAATTCTTCTAATGCCAGCCAATATCTCGACGAAGTCGCATCTTCGTGAATTTTCATTTGGGAATCTTCGAAAATCTCGACGGAACGATGATATCGAGAAGGTTATAAAAAAAAGAGGGAAATCCCAAACTTTCACTCGCGAACAGATTCGTTTTTCAACGATCGCAGAACGACGTCTCGACGAGCTTGTTGGTCTGACGATATTTCACGAGAGAGTTTTAACTTTTGTGTCGCTTGGATGGATGTGTCGATGTCAGAAAGAGAGATTTCAAAACTTGTCAATTTGTCAATTTCACTCGATTGCATTTCCACACGATTGGCAAACGCTCGACCAATTTGTACAACAGGCATCTGTGAAGTTAACGTTCGAGAATTGTTCGGAAATTCATTTGCTCGTGTCTGATACCTACTCGACTTTCCGGAATGTTCAAACATCAAGTATCTGGATCGTGTTGCTCACAGGCGATGTATATCCAATCTCCCCAGATCCTCCGGATGGGATTTGATCCATCGCGTTAAAACCGGACCAATCTGCAATCGTGAAACTCACCCGCGAAACGAAATTCGCCCGAAATTTATGAGATTTCCTTTTCCTTCTCCTTATAACGCGTGAGAGTATGGAATTTTTTATCAACGGAAGATACAGATTATATACTTTTCG